GGGAGGAGTCATACTTAAAGACCACAAAATGGGGTATTACAATGGCTATTGTAGTTAACGAATTATGCAGAGTAAACAAAATCTATGTTAATTCCAAGGTCATCTAGCCAATAAAAGCAATCACTCAACACATTATGGTAAAAATGTCAACTAATTCATAGTTACCTAAAGTCAGTGGTGTTACAATATGGAAATATATAAAGAGGACAAAAATATTATCAAGAGATAAATAGGGACTTTCCAAGGTTCAAGGTACATGGTTTCTTAACAAATATCCACCTTAGTTTGTCATCTAAGTAAAAAGAATATTTAGGTATTTTAATAGAAATAAATGTGAACTTTAAAATGATTATAATGAGTATACCAAATGTAATCTTAATATAATAGTATAATATCACAAATGAGGGACCATCTGTTGGTCAGAAAAATTATATTTAGGGAAACTTGCCGTATAGTGCACTCCAAGATATTTAGAGCTTGTTCCAAGAAAACAGAATGGTAAAAGCAACAAAAATATCTGGAAAAGTTTTGCATATGGGTAAGAGAATGTTTGATGGGAAGCTTGAAAAATAAATGACAAAGATCTTTAAACATTTGTATGACTCTTATTGGCTGAGAACTAAATTGAAATTGGCATGGAAGAGTACTTAGGAACAAATTTTAAAACAATGGGTTGAAGCTACAGGAAATGTTATTTAGTATAAAGAAGAATATTTATAAAAAGCCCTCATATTGCCCACAAATTGAGTAAGCTTCTGCGGGAAATTAATATATTTTCAACTACTCAATAGTTCAAATATATGCTATAATCTGTAGAGAAAGTTCATAAAATTCAGGCTGTCTCTGCTAGTTTTGAGATCCCAATTTAGCTTGAATTTCAAGACTGCTTAAGTGCCATTTTGAGAAGAATTTTAAGACAGTCTTATCCTTCCATGGGCCTGCAAAATGTGATATAAACCTGTGATTTAGACCAGTAATCTGCATTTTCTCTCCATGACAGTTATATGCATTGGGCATGTCAACTAAACTGATATTGTTAAAATACGCCACTTTTATTTAAAAGTGCTGCTTCTTATCTCTTTGCTGGTGATACATACATAATGTTTGCAGAACAGACATTTACCAATGCTCAGGAAATTGAATTCCTAAAATATTTATGGTACACAGTTTATGGCAGTCATACATATATTGCTTTTTTAAGGTAAAGGTAAAGGTAAGGTAAAGGCCCTCCCGTTGATCGTCGATTTGCTCGAGCGGGCCCAGTAACGGCTCCATTGGAGACTTTGTTGTTACTGTGTCTGGCATATCGAATACTCTCGGTAGCTTGCCGGGCTCTCCGAGAGGGGCGGAGGAATCGAACTCGGGTCGGCCATGTTGGCCGCTTGTAAGGCGAACGCCCTACCCGCTGTGCTATCGCTCCAGCCCATTGTTTTTAGATAACCAATGAGTCCTCATAGAAAATATATTGACAGGTAATGGACATTTTCTTTTCTACTCAGTATCCATTCCCATTTTTCTTGATACATTGAGTTCAATATTATTAAATGTTCACCTGAGATGTGCCTCAGTGATAAACAATGTTTTGCACATGTGAGCAAGTGGATTCAATCTTCATGACTGCAATAACAGCTAACAAAAAAATGAAATAACAAATAATTTTTGCAAATGTTCATCTGTTGTCTATGCAGACCTATACTTCAAAGAATATCCAAACAGGTCTGATTAAATGAAGTCAACACAACTCAAATTCCTGACACAATCTTCTTTTAAGTAGGAGGATATGATCCAAATTTTACTAATAAGGATGAGGTGTTTGAAATTGGACTGTTAAAGAAAAGTCATGCTATAAATGTGGTGTCTGTGAAAAAAAAGGTCTGGTTCCAAGAAGGACATTGTTTTATGTAGGATCAGAAGAGCTTAAAGAACCATAGACAAATTTCATTTCACCTTAGTGGCAATGCTATAAGGCTCTAGGGATGTGTCAATTTAGCTTGTTGATACTGTCATCAGAAATTAGAAGACTCTAACAAGCACAGAAGCTTAATTTCAAGAGTAAACCCCAGTTCTTTCAAATCCTTGTGAAAGGCCGTTTTATCCTTGTTGATTTTCTGTCTGGTTGATCTTTCTAATGGTAAGAACAGGATGTTGTTGGCTTCTTACCTTAACCTGTTAGTAGGGTTGCTTTATATATTTTAATTAGCTGTTAATTTAGTTCACTACGGTAATGAGTATTAAGTTCTCCTGATGTATTGATTCCTTAATCATTATGTAATGTCCATCCCTATCCATGTTTTAATTATATTTTATCCAGAATTTTTTTTATCTGACATAGTATTTTCTGCCATTTATATCATACCATTTGCCTATATGATTGCCTTCAAACCATTTAATGTGAACCTGCACTTCCTGCTGAAGTTTAAGGGCATCTCTTCTAACCAGAGGAAGCTTGGGCTCTGTTTCCAGATCCATTTAATCACTCTGAGCCTTTTTATTGGTGATCAGGCCATTGATGCTTAGTAAAAATATTGATATAAAAATAATTTGTTTTAAAATATGGATTCTGGGTTTTTCTTTTTTTGTTTCTTTTCATTTTCTCTCATTGTTCTTTGAAATATGTCTCTTGTTTAATTATAAGGTTCCATTTGCTTTTTTTTTCTTTTTTGATCACACCGGGAGATGCATAGGGGTTATTCATGGTTCATGCACTCGGGAATTACTCCTGGTGGTGCTTGGGGGACCATATGGGATGCTGGAAATTGAACCCAGGTTGGCAGTGTGCAAGGCAAATGCCCTCCTGTTGTGATATCACTCCAGCCCCACCATTTGTTTCTTTTTAAATAATTTTTGTCTGAACCAAGAAAAGCAATAGAAAGAATAAATTGGATTAAGCCAAACTGAAACCCTTCTGCATTTAAGAGAAACTATCACTCAAAAAAAAAAAATAAAAACTACCTATTAAAGGGAAGAAAATATTGCAACCATACAGATGTATTATAAAGGTCTACTATGTATATATATATATATATATGTATATATGTGTGTGTGAGTATGTGTGTGTATGTATGTATATATATATATATATATATCTTACTATCATTATCACTATCACCCTGTTGTTCATCGATTTGCTCGAGCAGGCGCCAGTAACGTCTCCATTCATCCCTGTCACATGCTAGTGTAGCCCGCTGGCATATTGGGGCTCTTTCAGGGTCTAGGGAATGAGGACCATTATTGTTACTATTTTTTGCATATTGAGTACATCACGGGTAGCTTCCCAGGCTCTGCAATGTGGGCAGGATACTCTCAGTAGCTTGCCAGGCTCTCCGAGAGATGGATGCTTTTGGGGCAGCCTCTAATCACCTTTACAAATGTTCCCAGTCAGGCATATATGTGGGCAAGATACTCTCGGTAGCCTGCTGGGTTCTCTGAGAGTGAGAATTAGACAATAACATGTCATGCGGCCGCAAATGCATATATATATATATATATATATATAAAGAATTCACAAAACTCAACAAGAAAATTCTGTGAAAGTTAGGGAACAGACACTTGTCTAAGGATATAGAACATTCATAGTCAATAATTATCATGGAAATGCAAATCAAAACAATGTCAGCTCAAGCCAGTGACAATGGCAGATATATTTATTTCAAAGACTAGAAACCCGTGGTGGTAGTAAGTAGAGGAAAAGGAACTCTCACTAACTGCTTGTGTAAATGTAAGCTGAATCAGCATATGTGAAAAACAGTACAGAAATTTCTTTTCAAAACTTGAAAAATAGATTCAGCAATTTTACTCTTAGGTATCTATCATGAGGAAACAAAATTCTAACTCAAAATGATAAGATTTGGGTATCAAATACACTTCAGATAAGATCTGGAAATCATTCTAGTACCCAGTACCCAGTGACAAATTAGTAGATAAGGTTCTGTATGTGTATATACATATTTTATATATGTATACGTGTATATATATATATATATATATAAAACAAAATACTTTACCTGGAAACAACTGAAAGGGATATGCTTTGTGAAATAAATCAGTAGTAGAAATATAAATATTGGATAAACGTTCAAAAGGGCCATATTTTTTTAAAGCAAGGCAATACACAATATCCAATGAGAACAAAAATTTTGTCAAAAGAGTCCAGAATCAAGGTTACTATGGGTTAGAAATGGGGACTAAAATAATACAATGGAATGTGGTGGTGGGATATTGGCATGGTTGTAACTGTGGTAAAGTAGGATTGCAGCTCTAAAAAGTATAATCATTTTTACGCTTGTATACTAGCACTATCTCAATTAAAAAGGAGTTTATTAACAAACTGAATAGTTTACCATTTTTTAAATTTGAATTCATTTTCCTATCTCCCCATCTGAAAACTATTTCATTAACAAGTGTTTCCCAAATAAATCTTGTTTTTTAATGTCTTCATGAACTTTCAGATCTTTCCTATATTTGAGGATTTTGGTCAAACATCTCTCTTCTATTGCTCAATAGAAACCATTCTTTTTTTAACCTTCAGTCTTTCCTTTCAATACATGAATAATACACCTGCTATAAAACATAGTTTGAGGATAATATTATGTGTAAGATTTTCCTTGATTTTTAGACTACAATTTCTGATAAACTCATTCAAATTTCTGTGAATTTTGAACAAATGAATATCTTCTTGTTTTTAATCTTCAAAAATCAAATTAGTAGATATACTACATGTAGTTAGGAAGACTTTAACCTTGACTAAAATACAAAAAATGTTTTTAACTTGTTCCCCATTTTTCATCTTCTTTATGTAAGATACATCAGTTCTTTTTAAAAGCACACACAATAGGGTAAAGACATTAAAATAAAAGCAAGAGACTTCCGAAGAAGTTAATGTTAATAAAAAGGTGCAAGTGTTTTGTCTACATGCATGAGCATCTCAAGATTTTAATTGCTCTTTTACTCTGTAAGATTGTGATGTATAAACACTTTACAAATCTGACCTCAAAAAACAATGATTTGAATAATTTGTTTTTAATGCAAAAATGAAACATTAATTTGCCCAGTTCTCATACAACATTTATTAAACATTTCAGTGTCAATGATTTATTAAGATTTCAAGAGCTAGACTTATAATGAAACCAAGACCAATCAGGATTATGGGTACACATTTTGGACTTTTGTTGAACAACTTTAAATAAAATGAATACTACCTCTTTAAGCTTTGCTTGGAGCAAAGACAAAGAAACATAACCAACCAATAAAACATCTAATGATGCCATTTATATTTTGACATTTGATGCTATTACCATAAAGTTAAATATATTTTGTGCTTCTGTGTTTTACTGAAGCCAAATATATCAGACTTAACGTGAGAAATTTTCATTTATTTCAGATATTTTTAATGGGTCAAATAAAAATCCTGAAAGATAGAGATTTGTATTTAGCATCTCTTTCCTGTCATTAACCATAGATTTTTCAGACTGTTATGACAATCACAGAATAGACATTATTAAGCATGTACAGATTAAGATATCTTTTTAGAAATAAAAAATATTTATTTCTGGATCAAAGAGGGGATTCAGAATCACTGAAATTCTGAAGGAGCATGTGCTTCATTATTGTTCCTACCAGTTTCTTTTTTATTATAAAGTGGCAATTTATACTACCATTAGAAATATACATTTATATATAAAGTTTTGCATTCAAATCTTTTAATTTTTGACTACCTATAACTAAAGACCACAAGTCAAAAAACTCTATATAATATATCCTTATTTCAGAAGCATATGTATATATACACATATATATATTTGTAGAACAATCCACTCTTTTAAATGCAATTCTGATTTAAAAAATGCTATTTACAATTTTATGACAGAGAAATAATCTCAGCCTTTTATGATATTAAAATGAGTAGGGAATTTTATTGTTGAGTGGATTTCACCTTGTGCAGATGAAATTAAGCAACATCAATGGGAAACCTTCTCAAAGCAAGGCCTTCTAAACTAAGCCATGAAGGTGGAATAAAAATTTTTTATTTCTGGGTCTTTATTTAAAAAAAAACTACTGTGATGAAGGCATGCTTGCTTCACCAAGAAATCAGAGGCCCCAACTTAGGACCCTGAAACTTTGCCTTGCACAGTAAGCATTTTAATTCTCTTTTTGAATACTCTGTTAGCTTGCTAGTGGCTCCATGGGACCATTGATTTATCTTGAACATGGATCTACAGTATTGCCATTTTTTTTTAAATAGAAGAATTCTTCCAATAAGCTCTTTAGATTAGAATGAGGCCATGTTTTATGAACCACAATTTGCATCAGATGGATGTCTCTTTAGAGTGTCAATCTATAGTGACTAAAATGTGTTATGAAATTCATAAGTAAAAATTTCAAAACTCAAAGTATTAATGTGATCAAGTCTAGATTAGTCTGCTAACTCTCCAGTTTCTTGAAGCACAAATGTCTCTGAATTATCCAATGGAACTTCAGCACCATTTTGTTTCTATACCTCATACCTCAAACTTCAAATCAGGTATATTAAACAGAACACTATTTTGTAAGATTCTCAAAATTTTAGCTATCAATCTTAAGTTCATTGATTTTTAAACATCACAATAAGGAGTCTTGGAATAAACACATCTTCATGTGTACAATGTACATGTACATTGTCAATGACAAATATTTACTAAAAGTCATAATTATTCCTATTGAAATACAAATGCAGTCAAAAAACTTATTTATATAAGAATAAGTAATGGATGGATTGAGACCCAGAAATTGGAGTAATGAAATTAAAAGTGATAGCTATCTTTGCTGGAATAAACTTAAAAAATTTTTAACTTGATTTATTATTTTTGGGAAAAAAGAATTAGATGCTTATACTTGATACTTTGGAAGCCTAGTGAATACTGACTTTTCTATTAAAGATTTTATGCACTTATAAAGCAATCAGTTAAATAAATGTTTACTGTGCTATAAACCATTGTTTTTGTCAAGCTAAGCTTTAAAGGAAATATGAAGCATTTAATTTATTCTCTGACAAAGGTAATTTCCAAAACATTTCACTGTGGTTAAAATTTGCTAAGGTGATATGAAGAAAAAAATATGCAAACACAGTGGTAAGAATTTTGTTTTTTTTCAATTCCACAGGAAGAGACCAGTGAGTTTATAGAATAAAGGATAGCCTTTGGAAATAAAGAAAACAGTTTTGTTGGAGATTCATATATCATACTTTATAGTGTTTTAGTGGATAAAATATAGTAAGTAATGAAATCAGCATAAGTGATAATGCTCTATGAGATTGTTAATCTTATTGCAGATAAGTTTCTAGTATGTGTATATACACATCTCTATCACCACAAAAGCTTATGTCAATTCATTATCAATGAACCTGTGTCCCATTTTCTATATCTTTTAAATATTGTTTTTAAGAGAAAATGAGGCTTTTGCTTGGGGTCTGTTTAGTCCTTGGGAAGTGACAGGTGTGTTTACTGTCAAGTTGAGAGTGACAAGGAAAAATCCAAGATATGTATTTGTTCAGAAGGATATTATTTTCTTAGAAAAGCAATATTCCTAATTTTTTTAAATTAAATGTCTTTATTTGGTACTTCAACAAATATTTTGTTTAAACAAATATTGCTTGCAAATGTGTGTTCAAAATTCTTGTATAGATGCATAACTTTTGCTCTTTGTAACTCATTAGGCAAATTCCACCATTTCCTTTTTTTGCTAACTTCCTGAAAACACAAATAAATACTCGGTGAAGGACACAAACCACTATTGAAATAACGATTGTGTGGAGTGAGGGAAACTACATTGACCTTGAAAGAATACAGTAACCAATGGCAAGGTAGTTGAAGTAAGGACCTAGAGCTTCTGCAATGTGTATATATTTTAGGGAGTCATATTTGGAACAATACATGCTGGACAGTAGAGCTATAGGAGAAGTAACATGCTAAGTCTTCTCATTGATAATATCCATAAATCTGCATACATTTTTTAACATTCTGTTTTGTTTTGATTTGGATGTCTTTATACCTTTCTTGATTTGCAGACTAAATAGATCTATAATTTTCCAAGAAAGTTTCATGACAATCATTTCTTTTCTAATTTTTTCCAAATACATTAGTATTCCTGTATATATGTCTAGTCTTACACCTTTTGAAAAAATCTTTTACATCACTCATACAATTCTATCTTTTGGAGTCACAGCTGTTGATTCCATACTCTTCCCTACCTCTTGACAGTTTTTTGTGTTACAAATATCCTTCAGTATTGTAGGAGACAGTTATTATCAACTGGACATAACAAACAATAGCACACAGCCACAAACAAGTCACTGATTTCAGAAATTAGTAAGTTAGGAATGTCACAGCTATGCCTCCCAGTTCGTTGGTAGTATGTGGAAACACTATATACATAAACTCTAGTAAGGTACAAAGGCAAATACAATTTTCTTTGATCAGTTTTTATAGGACTATTTTCATATGCAAACTCCCTTTCTTTCCTGCTGCAAGAGAAGGTCTGAATTGTCTAAGTTTCATACATGCACCTGTTCTTTCAAGAGTGTCCACAAAGTAGAACATTGGACAAATTACAATATTATAACATGTACATCACTACCTGAGCATGGCAATGACAAATAATTCTCATAAGTCACCTTATTGTCAGAACAATGTTTTTTTTATAAATAACAAAATATGATACCTTGACAAAATATATTTCCAATTGAGAATCTGAACCTCTTTTTTAATGAAGGTACCAAATCAGCAAATACCTTAAGTTCATTATATGGGTTAGTTTGACCAATCTTAAATAATAATTTAAAAAATAAATTTAAATTCTTTTCTTGATAAATGATTTCTGATGACATAATTTAGAGCTTGGGAAGAATTGTAATTTCTACAACTTCAATACCATAATAGAAAAAAATCCTGGGAACATAATGCAATTATTTGTTAATTTCAGAGGTCTAAAGAAAGCATACATCTCTAAAATCCAGAGTTAAACAAATTAGGGAATTGTGGTCATTTATAAGTTTAATTCTCCAAAACCTTTTCTTTAAAATAATTACAATTTTATCTTTATTATAGTATGTTTTCATTACAATTATAGCCCTCTGTTAATAACAGTACAGTTAACTTTAATGTTGGCGGAGTCTTGGTCAATTTTTCCATTGATTTGATATGTACTAATCTTTGTGCATGTGCATTTTCTACCACATTGCAACAGGCAAGCTTTGGTACATTTTTTTTTGTCCTACACAGAAGGAAGATTTGAGCGCAGAAACTTAGCCACTAGGTCCCACGTTGCCATTTTTACTTTCCTCTCCTTGGGTGGGTTTAATTGGAAGGATATGGGTAACGGGGAGGGAAGAGAAAGGGAAGGGATGAGAGAGGGACTAGGGGAAAAGTTCTCAGCTATGTTGAATCTTGATTCACAACTTTGCCTCCATTCATGGTTGGTGTCCCAGAACTTTTCCTTGAACGCCCCTGTTTTTCTCCAATTTCATGTAGTGATGGCTCTCTGTACATACACACTGGAAAGAAAAATCAGAAGCATTACTTAACTAAATGGTGGACACAAATTCTGTCTTAATGAACATCTCAAATTTCATTTTATAGCATTCATTCTGCTATCTTTTTCTTTCCATAACATATAAAGGATCATAACTTTTTAATATATTTAGTAGTTACATATGATTCTCTCTTGTGATCTTTATCCATCACAATCTTTGAATTCTTATTGAATTTCATTTTAACTTATTTATTTGCAAGGTTTTTTGTTTACTTTGGGGTTTTGTTTGGAAGACACTCACAGTGGTGCTCAGGGCTTATCTCTGACTTTGCTCTCAGCTGCTGGAGAGCTTTGGGAATTATATTGAGTGCCAGGGATTCAACCCTGATTAGCTGTAGCCAAGGCAAATTCCATACATTCTGTACTATCTCTCCAGTATGAGTCTTTACTAATTTTTATGACAAGGTTTTTATCCAAAGCTAGTTGAGAGAAATAATTGCGGGTATAACACTTAAAGGACAAAAATATCTATTTTAGTACAAAGTCTTCAATTTAGTTTGGGTAGGAAAGAGTTCTTATACCTTTAATCTTTATTAAAAGAAATATAACATTATTGTATTAAATTTAAATGCTTTCTGCCAATTGTCAGGGTATCCTATATAACATATAGTCAAGGAAGAGAGGTAGAGAAGAAAAAGTAACTGAAAATATTAACAAAGAAAAAATTAACAAAGCAACTGCAAAAATTCCCAATTGCTGCAGGTTACTTCCACCCATGATAATAAATGCAGTCCATGACTTCTTATTCATCAGTAGGAAATTTGATTATGCAGTGATATAATTTTGGTTCACATTGATATAAACTATTCCTTTTTTCCTCTTTTGTCTTGTCTGGATGAAATGCTCAGTCATCTGTGAATTATTATTATGGCTGTTGTTAGTGTCTTCCATGGAAAGCACAGTGTTTTACAATTTTTTCATAGCTACTCCTGTATGATAGCATGTTCGTGTATTAAAATGAATACATAATATTGCTGTGAGATTGACAAATATGACTATATAAAGCACACATGGTAATTCACTCAAATATCAGGACTGATTGGCCTTTTTTGTTTTGTTTAGTTTTGGTTTGGGGGTCACACTCTGCGGTGCTCAAGCTTATTCCTGGCTCTACGCTAAGGGATCTTCAGTGGTGCTTGAGGGAAAAAATATTTAAAGCATGGGAAGAGTAAGTAATTCTTACAACTTCAATGCCAGAGCATTGATGATAATGCTGGGGAATCAAACCTAGGTCATCCGCATGCAAGTCAAGTGATTTATACCTGAACTATCTCTCTGGCCCCAGTTCTTTACATTCCATTCTTGATTTAGGAATATACAGTCAAGAACGTCTATCCTTCCTTCCCTCCTCCCTCTTTTTGAAATTTCTTAGCATTCTGCTTCAAGAATGTATCAGAGTTTAAGAATCCACCTGCTAAAAGGATATTGGGTTCTCTTCAATATTTGGCTTTGTGTAGGACACTTATGAATGCTGCTATGAATATCTGTGCACAAAATTTTAACTGGCAAGGCAAACGCCCTACCGCTGTGCTATCGCTTCAGCCCAAATTTAGAACTAAGGTTTAAAATTTAAAACTCATTTTTTAAAATCTTGAAGCAGAATGCTAAGAAATTTCAAAAAGAGGGAGGAGTGAAGGAGGGGAGGAAGGAAGGAAGGAAGAAAGGAAGGAAGGAAGGGAGGAAGGAAGGAAGGAAGGAAGGAAGGAAGGAAGGAAGGAAGGAAGGAAGGAAGGAAAGATTGTTATGGTTGAGTTATCAGGGCTGGTTTCAGAAAAAGAAGTTTGAATTGGGACTCAAAGGATAAATGGGTAAAACAATATAGAGGACAACAGTTCCGAGAGGCAGATGAAAAATGAGTATAGCAATATGCACATATGAACTGTAGGAAATGGAGGACAACATTTCCGAGAGGCAGATGAAAAATGAGTATGAACAGTTTGCACACATGGACTGTTCATGGTGTCATTGATCCAGAGCCAACCCAGATCCAAATATTTATGTATGTATACACATATATTTTAAGTGTATTGTAAAAATTATTATTGATATTTAAATCTTTTGTTTAATTTTTACTGAGGTAATATTGTATAATATTATACAGATTTCAGCTGTGCACCATTAAAAAATTAAGAGGTGTCTATATTATATAAGGTTCAATTATTTCACTGCATGACTTCTTCAGTATCCCAACACGACAGCCTGTGTAAGTGGCAAAGTGTATGGGAATTTCAGAAAGAATTGATAATGCCATTTTCAGATGCTGCCAATAAAGATGTTTCTATTTTTCTTTAACAACAGACAGAAGAAGATCCTTTCGGATGATCCTATTGAAATATGAAAGTTCCTTGGTCCAGTGCATTTTTCTTTAATTTCTGTTATGGTTGAGCATTTAAGTATAAAAAATAAATACATTTTTAATATGTTCAAAATATAACCATTAGATTTTCATTGGTGCATGCTCTGGGAAACTTAGAATTATTCTTTTGAGAAGCTAGGCATGTGTGGCACCATAAGATTTTATCCCAACTCACACCTATTCAGTTGTGAGACTCAAATATCCCCAGACCTATCAATAAGTCAGTGTCTCAAATCATTAACAAAAATCAGTGTATGCACTAAATTGATCTACAATTTTTTCAAAATTTACACTTGGACTTTGTTAAGGAATATTGTTTTCTAATTTCTTTTAAATGAGTGGAGCAATAGCACAGCGGGTGGGGCGTTTTCCTTGCACACAGTCAACCCGGGTTCTCTTCCTCCGGCCTTCTCAGAGAGCCCAGCAAGCCCAGAGAGCATCCCACCCGCACGGCAAAGCCTGGAAAGCTACCTGTGGCGTATTTGATATGCCAAAAACAGTAACAACAAGTCTCACAATGGAGACGTTGCTGGTGCCCGCTCAAGCAAATCGATGAACAACAGGAGGACAGTGCCACAGTGCAGTGCTAATTTCTTTTGAAAGATATACATACATATAACTTCATACACAAATATATGGGCTTGAGCAATAGTATATGAGTATGGCACTTGAATGGGCTAGAGCAATAGTACAGTGAGTGTGATGCTTGCCTTGCATGCAGCCCACCAAAGTTTGATACCCAGGACTCCACATGTTCCCCCAAGGCTGCCAGGAGAGGTTCCTGAGTACAAAGCCAGGAGTAGGCCCTAGCACCCAAACAAAATAAAAACAAATAAATTAATAAAGAAAATATGTCTAGGTACCAGAGAGAGAATACAGAAAGTAAAGCACTTGCTTACAAGATGTTGACCTCAGTTGTAGGTTCAGTCCATGGCACCATATATGATGCCTTGAGCACTGCCAGGCTCACTAAAGAGCACTGATGTATAAATAGCTCCTGAGCATTGCTGAGTATGGCCCAATCCCCATCCCATAAAGTGCAAACAACAACAGAAATAGAGCTAAAATTATAAAATATATTATTATTTTTTCTTTTTCTTTCTTTTTCTTTTTTTGGTGAGGGAGGTGTCACACCTGGTGATGCATGGGGGTTACTCCTGGATCTGCACTCAAGAACTTATTCCTGGAGGTGCTCAGGGGACCATAAGGGATACTGGGAATTGAACCCGGGTCAGCCGTGTGCAAGGTAAACAGCCTACCCACTGTACTATCACTCCAGCCCCATAAAATATATTCCTTTTTTTTTCTTTTTATTAGTGAAACATCATGAGGTACAGTTGTAGATTTACAATTTTTTGTGCTTGGGTTTTGATTATACAATGATCAAATACCCATCCCTCCATCAGTGCCCATTTTCCACCACCATGGATAATATCCCTCCCACCCCCATCCCACCCTGCCTCTGTGGCAAGGCATTCCCTTTTGTTCTCTCTCTCCCTTTGGGTGTTGTGGTCTGCAAAAGAGGCATTGAGTGGCAATCATGTTCGGTCCATACTCTACTTTCAACATGCATCTCCTCTCCTGGGAGGATCCTCCAAACATCCTTTATTTGGTGCTCCCTTCTCTATCTGAACTGCCCTTTCCCCTAGAATGCCCGGCTGGCCTCTAAGCTATGGAGTAATCCTCCTGGTGCTGATTCTTAATACACTTAATGATATTGAAAAAATATTTCAAATGGTTCAAATGCTAAATTGTTTGCCACATGTTTCATGTAAATTACACATTAGTTGAAAATTCACAGAGAAAAACAAATATTCTGGCTATAAAATATAAACAAAGATATAACTATTATAGTTAGTGAGATCTTATTTGCATAGGAAGAACCAACAATTTCCCAACCGTTTAGAATATTAGAGATAGCAGAGAGCTTCTGGCACTCGTCTTGCGTTCAGCTGATGCTGACTAAAACTAAAATTATAAATAACTCTGATGTAGTAGGAAGTTATAAAAAAAACTTCCTCATCTTGGACATGGCTTCCTTAAATAGACAGAGTATCTTGAGTTGCTCATATACAGTATTCTGGATCACAAAATAAAAGTCTATCAACCTTTTAAATTTGGTTAAACTAAAATCACATCATTTTCATTCTACGCTTGACACGTTGATTTACATTTCTTTTTCTCAATTTTTTCCTAATTTCAATGACTTTTTTGCTAATTCCCCTAAATGAACATTCAAGAAATAAACTGTTCACTTATTGTACTAACAGCTGCATATTTTTTGTGTGTAAAAGGCGTTTTGGTAGATGCAGGAATTCTAGACCCCTGACCTCAAAGAGCTTGAGGCCAGGAGAGTAAGCATTTCACACGTTTCACAAATAGCAGCATCAAAGGGCCCACCATCATAGGGAGCTTAATAAAAAAAAACAAATAAAAATAGCCACCTGATGTTAATTTAGCCTTACAAGGACAATGATGAATCAATAAATAGAATGAACAAATTAAAAATATATTAGATAAACAGGGACAGATCAAAGAATGGGATAAAGTAAAAGAAGTAGTGAAGGATGTGGTTGACAGGGATAAAATAGCAGATCTCCTGAATT